ATTCACCGCAATGGAACAGTGTTCAAATTACCAAATTACTAAATATTTTTCCCAGAGGAAAGGGCTGAAGTCCAGAGGTGCTGTCATCAGGAAGGTTGGGGATGTTCTCTGGTCCTGGTTATACTGGCAGAGAGCCTAGAATGACAGTTGCCTGCCATGACCTCTGCATGCCTCCGGTGTACGTGCATGTCTCCTCAGATGGCTGCATCTGTGAGAAGCTGCCAATGGGATGTCTCTGTCCATCAGGAGTGCTTAATCCCCTGATGGAGCTGGAATGATCCCCAGAGGATCGTCTCTGCAGCTGGAGGGGATGCTCTTTTGTACCTTCTCTAGTACTTTCTCCACATTTACCATTTTTCAGAAATCCTTCTTGTTACATCTATCTTAATTAAATGCCCTGGGATGTACTAGAAAGATGTTAATTTAGACATATGAATTTTCAGGGATGAAGGGAAAGTCCTCTATTACCTGAGTGTTCACCGGGCTGGGCTGACAATAGGCAGACCAATAGAAGAAGGTAAACAATTTATTTCACATGGGTGAGAACAGACACAGAAATGTGATTACCCAGTAGCCCAGTGGTGACTAAATACTTCTGTACCCCTTCTCATAGGAGAGAGGCACATGGGGGTTATGGCAGTTTTGAGGGGTAACACATGATCTTAGGTGAATGAATGGTCCCAATGCTCTAACAATGGTAAATTAATATCTTTGGGACTTGAATGACACAATAGCTTGTGACTAATTTGCCCAGATAAAGTCATTTATCCAGATAGTGCACTTAGCTTCAAGTGCAGCAAAAGACATTTGCTATTTCTCTGTTTGTCTAAAGACCCACCTAAGAAATAACTAGCCTTGATCCCCTGTCCGAGTTTTCATGAAGTAAATTCATATCTCTTGGAAGGAATATTTAAAACATGAAAGTGTCTTTAATTAAAAATATCATTTCAGGTTGCTTTATTTTAGGGTTTCTGATCCTCAATAAATTATATTAGAAGTTCAAATTCAGTGTCAAGTTCTTTTCTCCATGGTTACTTTTCAATGTTCTCCCAGTTGTATGTAGATTCCATTATGTTATCATTTGCCCTGCCAGTCAGTGAGTGGGCTAAGTGGCCTCTCTGATCTCAGAGCTTCCTAATAAATCCAACAGACTGAAGACTCAACTGAAGGGAACAGCTGGATCAGCCATATATGGTTCATTATGTCCTTCTTGGCATCTCAGTTGGTTTGGTTTATAGCCCAGTTACCTCTAGAGCTGAGCAGCTCTTATTTTCATGTTCTTAAAAAAATCCCATGTCAGGGCTCTTGAGAGTTTCTCCAGTTCTGTCTGGCTGTTGTCTGTGAATTATTCATTGCTTGTTGACGTCTTAATAACTGGGGATCTTCTTCCAGTCCCGGAGACAAAGAACATTGTACCAGACTCCCCAGTTAGTTACTTTCCTAGTCCTGTGGCAAATGTATGGACAAAACTGACCGAAAGCTGCCTTTAATGCAGCTCGTCGTCTGTGGGGGCGCTGTGCAGCATGTGGGGAAGGCAGGGATGCAGGCATGAGAGGAGACTGTTTGTAAGTCATCCTCGGTCAAGAAGCAGAGTGATGGGTTCATTTTCTCATTTTAATTCAGTCCAGGACCCAAGTCCACGGGGTCGTCCCCACATTCAGGGTGGTCTTTCCTCCTCAATGAAACTTTTCTGCAAACACCCGCATCAATAAACTCAGGGGTGAGTTTCAATGGTGATTATAAATCCTGTCAAGTATATAGAGAAGAAAAACTCTCACAGCCCTCTCTGACACCCCAGGGTAGAGACCTTTGATGGCTCTTCTGGAATGCATGTGCTGTTTTGTCTTTTTTGGTAAACTTTACTATGTGATGGTAACATTTGGAGGTCACTTTTGTTTTTGAGATAGAGCCCCCTATATAGTCTATGCTGGCTTTGACTTTGAAATTCTCCTGCCTTAGCTTCCTGAGGTGTTTACTACCATGCCCTTGACTTATTCAAAATCGCATTTATTTATTTATTTATTTATTTATTTATTTATTTATTTATTGTGTGTGCGCTTAATGTGTGTGGGTGTACATGCCACAGCACACACATGTGTGGAGGTCAGAGAACAACTTTAGGGGGTCAGTTCTCTCCTACCACATGGATTCTAGGGATGGCACTGAGGTGTCAGGCTCCCACAGGTGCCTTTGTCCACAGAACCATCACTCCAGTCCTTGATTTTCTTTTAACAATTAGAAAAGTGCAACTAAACAATCAGATAATTATATCTGTAGGAACAATACTATTGATAGCTTTACCAACAAGCGCTTACAGGCCAGGCACAAAGTGCTTTAGCGCATTTTGTCAGGCAGGTGAGGCATGAGCGATCATCTGGTATCACATGCCTAGCCAGTGCTGGGCTGAGATATGAAGCAGGGGCTTGGACACTGTGCTGAACTGCCTGAGACTTTAGAAGTCAAATCTGACTCCCACCAACTTAGTCAGAAAGACAAAAACATTTTTCTCCTTGTGGAATATATAAATATCATATAACTGGAAGATAATACAGAGGCAGAGGAAGGAAGGAGAAATAAATAACAATAAAATATTTGAAAAAGCCACACACACACACACACACACACACACACACACACACACACACAGAGTGTGAAAGTTGAAAAGAAGCCCAGGAGAACAGAACGGACAATAGGAAAAGACACGGGAGACAAAAGATATGTGGAAGGAGGGGAGGAGCATGGTCAAATTACAGCATATTCTTTGTGAAAATGTTCTTATAGGGCTATGAGATGGTTCAGCTGGAAGGGCGATTGCAGCACAAGCCTGGAGAGCCAAGTTCAATCCCCAGAACCCATGCAAAGGTGGAAGGAGAGAACTGACTTCACAGAGTTTTCCTCTGATTGCACATAGGCACTGTGATGGTCACACTTCTGCCTACCCACGTTATGTATACAAAGGCACACTGATGCCTTTTTTAAAAAGAAAATGTTCTAGTGAAATCATTACTATGTGTAATGAATATGTTTCAATAAAATTGGCTGGTTGGCTGAACACGATCGAAATATACTTTGTACATGCCAGAAAGAAAGCCATTATTCTATGCCCGCTGACAAAAGATTGACTAACTTACTGTCACAGAAAACAGCAGTACCCAAGAAGGAATACAGTTCCGTGGAAGACATACCATTTCATAAGTACATTTCTGAGATGGCTGCACAAGTGTGAGGAGATCATATTCCCAGAATTCATGAGACAGCTTGGCAGACATTGACAATGACCTGAATTTCCATCCTTCAGAAGGCAGAGGCAGGGGATCCCCAGGATCAGCTGGCCACCTAGACTAGCCCAAATTGGTAAGCCCTGGGTTCAGCCAGAGATCTTGCCTCATTAAACAAAGTGGAGAGTGATTGAGCAAGATACCTAAGGTCAGCCTTGGGCCTTCACACTCATGAGCATCCACATATATGTCCAAGTGCATACAAACACTATAGATACATGCAAAATAGTAATTTTGTAATCATTCTTAATGTGATCTAAGTAAGATGTAAACACATGGACAGGTGGTTGTCAGGTAAAATTCAATCACTATTGAGTCAGATTGTTTCTGTTTGGTGAAGATTGAAGTAAGAATAAAATAGTATAATTAATGAAAAAGGTGAGATGAGGAAAAAAACTAAACTATGATCACCTTAATGAAACAGGGTTTTTTTTAAAAAATGATTTATTTATTATGTATACAACATTCTGCTTCCATGTATATCTGCACACCAGAAGAGGGCACCAGATCTCATAATGGATGGTTGTGAGCCACCATGTGGTTGCTGGGAATTGAACTCAGGACCTCTGGAAGAGCAGTCAGTGCTCTTAACCTCTGAGCCATCTCTCCAGCCCCCAAAATCTTTTTTTTTTTTTCCCGAGACAGGGTTTCTCTGTTAGTTTGGAGGCTGTTCTGGAACTCACTCTAGGCTGGCCTCGAACTCAGAGATCTGCCTGCCTCTGCCTCCCGAGTGCTGGGATTAAAGGCATGCACCACCAACGCCTGGCGAAACGGGTTTTGCCGTCTATATATAATATTAATTTTGTTTGGGTACACAATAGGGTCTTTATCTAGTTGACATTGTGGCATAAAATGTCAAGATTTTCTCAGGGAATTCATACTAAGGACTAGGAGCCAGGGTTTTGGAGTGAGAGGGACAGGGATCTGGATTCTGTTCTCATTAATGTGCAGTCCTGGCTGCATTATTCAAGCCATTCTTAGAGCCAGATTTCTCACCTGTAAAATAGGGATTTTTTTCAACAGTGAAATTGTGCTGTTGTACATGGGTTAAATGTGATTTTCTCAGCACTGGGCTAGGTACAGATATATTGCCCAATTTTCCCACTCCCCCCACCTCCCATCTGCTCCTCGGAAAGGTTAAGGCCTCCCCTAGGAAGTCTACTAAGTCATCATCTCATTGAGGCAGGACCAAGGCACTTCTCCACCCACAACCCCCTGTGTCTAGACTGAGCAAGGTATCTCTCCATATAGAATGCGTTTGTGCATTAGAGTTAGATCTTGGACCCACTGCCAATGGCCTCATATATTGTCCTGCTCACACCATTGTCACCTATATTAAAGGAGTCTAGTTTGGTCTTAATAAGGTTTCCCATTTGTCAGACCATAGTCAATGATCACTCACTAGCTTGTGTACTTTTTTTTTTTTTTTTTTGGAGATAATTTTTTTTTTTTTTAAAAAA